TTTTTTTTTCCCCTCCTAATAATTGCAGCATTTTTACAGGACTCAACACTGGATTCTCCTACACTGCACAGGGATGATAATAAAAACAAAAAACAGAAGAGACCAGTTCTTTACCCTTTTACCCAACAAATGGCTTATGTGAGATCTGACGGCAAATTTGATGCCAGAGAGGATCGTTGCTTGTCATCTTGTGTTTTTATTAATAGAAAGTTAATTATTTTAGAACGCAAGACAAGAAAACTATATAATTATTATACACTAAAGAGCACGAGAGGATTCTATACAATAATTTAGATGTATTAAATAAATAAAAAAAAAAAAATAATAGCAGCCTTCTACAATGCAGGCTACACATAGGTTTACTTCGGCTTGAAGTACCCAGGTCTTTAGTACACCTACAGGAGCAGATCTGCTCCACGAGTGTTTTAAAGAAACATATCTATAAGATACATACGTAAGAGTGTCTACTGTTAGGACAAGAATTGACAACACACTTTACCACGGTCTCCACATATCTAATGAACCCATTCTGGGGTTGTTACGGGAAAAATTCGGCTGCAGAACCTGTCTGGGGGCGTCGAGGTGGTTGAAAAGCGACGGCGAGGGCAGCGGGAGGGGATTTTTGGCAGCTTGCTTGTTCTCCGCGGGGTACAGGCGCTCCTGGGGCGGGTTTGTGCCTCGAGCGCTGCCCTTGGGGCTCTGGGGACTCTTGAGTGCCAGGAGAGGCTGCTGAGACGGGCTGGAAGGCCTCAGCGCGGCTTTGCAGGTGTCCTCACCAGACCTGGGCAGGGATTTGAGCAGGTGGTTCAAGAGGCGCGCCCCGAGGCTCTTGTCCATCCAGTCGCAGGTGAGCAGCAGGTTGTGCACCTCGTGCATGCACTGGATGTAGCCGGTGCTGTACCTCTGCTGGGCCTCCAGACCCACCCTGGAGTCAGCTGCCAGCGGGAGGAGACAAAGGACAGCTGCTGAGAGGCTGGGGGTGACCGCAATGCTCCCCCAGAGCCATGGGCTCTGCCAGATGCTTGGCTCGCAGGGTGGGAGCCCTGTGCCCTGCTGCCCGAGCAGAAACTGCTCCAGAGAGCAGGAATCGGCTCTGGAAGGGAAAAACGCTTCCCCTGGATGAAACAGTGCCCAGCTCCATCTCCCCATCTAGTGGAGAAAGCCAAACCCCGGCAGCAGCCTGGGTGAAACACCTCGGGTGGTGTGAAAGATGCTGGTGCCAGTGGATCAAACCTGCTGGCATCGGGAAAGGGACCGGGAGCAGGGAGAGGAACAGGGAGAGGAACAGGAGCAGGAGCAGGAGCAGGGAGAGGAACCGAGAGCAGGGAGAGGAACAGGGAGAGGAGCAGGAGCAGGGAGAGGAGCAGGAGCAGGGAGAGGAGCAGGGAGAGGAACAGGAACAGGAGAAGGGTGAGGAACCAAGAGCAGGGTCAGAAGCAGGAGCAGGGTGAGGAGAAGGGTGAGGAACAGGAGCAGGGTCAGGAGCAGGAGCAGGGTGAAGAGCAGGAGCAGGGTGAGGGACCAGGAGCAGGGTGAGGGAACAGGAGCAGGAGCAGGGTGAGGGACCAGGAGCAGGGTGAGGAACAGGAGCAGGGTGAGGAACAGGAGCAGGGTGAGTAGCAGGAGCAGGGTGAGGAACAGGAGCAGGAGCAGGGTGAAGAGCAGGAGCAGGGTAAGGGACCAGGAACAGGGTGAGGGACCAGGAGCAGGAGCAGGGTGAAGAGCAGGAGCAGGGTAAGGGACCAGGAGCAGGGTGAGGAGCAGGCACTCACCCAGCATCTTGCTGCTCTGGATGTTCTGCAGGTGCTTTACTGTCATTTCCAGGATATCTGCTTTTTCCAGTTTAGACTGCTGATAAGGAAAGAGAGCAGCAGTTAGAGGCAAAAAAAGGGTTTGCACCGTGCCCAGTTTCTCTAAAGATGAAGCATTTCCCTTCCTCCCCACCTCCACAACCTGATTTTCCACTGGCAAAAGGACAAAAAGCAGAATAAAACGAGCACTTACATCCAGGTGAAATGCACCCACAACAGTCTCCTTCAGCTGGTCTAAGCAGTTATTAATCCTTTCCCTTCGCTTCCGCTCAATGAGGGGTTTCCTCAGCTGGCAAAGAAAAGGAGCAGGGAAAATTGCAGTTGATATTTTTATTTCCTCTCCCTGCTGCTGTTCAGCAAGGCCAGAGACGCCCTTCTCTGTGTGATGGCAGCACAGGGTGACACAGGACAAGGTGAGGATGGAGAGTGTGCCAGCTCCAGCCATGACCTGTCCCTGAGGCAGCATCACCTCTCCCTTCTCCCACTTCCAATCATTTCAAAGAGAGAAACTCATTTCACCCGACCCAAACAGAGAGAAGGCACAGAAAGGAAGCAGAACAACACCCGCATGAGTTAAATCAGAGAAAACATCTTTCTAGGAGGAGAAAAAGCATTGTCCCCGTGCTGTGTCCTGCGAGCAGAGGCCTGGCACCCCTCATCCCCATGCCCAGGGGACACGTACCTTCCTCTCCTCCTTGCTGCTGGCCACCTTGTGCGTGCCGGCGGTGGCCGAGGCCGTCATCCTGGTCCAGGCAGCCGGCCTGGCTCCGGTGGGATGGGCTGGGATGGGATGGGATCAGTGGGATGGGATGGGATCAGTGGGATGGGATCAGTGGGATGGGATCAGTGGGATGGGATCAGTGGGATGGGATGGGATGGAACGGAACGGGACGGGATGGGATGGAATGGGATGGGATAAGAAGGGATGGAATGGGAAGGAGGCTCAGGCAGTGGCTCACTCTCCTTCCAGATGGGCTCTGCAGCTCCGCTGCTCCTCGGCTGTATTTATAACCCCGAATTAGCATCTGAAAGGCAACTTTCCTTGGCGGGATTTCTTTTCCCACACGAGGGGTCGAGCCCGGAGGTTTGTGGCCATCAATCAAAGCTGACAGGTCACTGCTTCTTTTCAATGGCCACGCCGGCCCCCCCAAACGGCGACAGATGTCCAGCCTCCGACGCTGTGCTTTGGAGGGGTCTTTTGTTCAGGAAGAAGGGAAGGAAAATGGGCGCACTCGGAGCAGCTTGCACGGCTCCTCGTTCAATTCGCACAGATTCCCAGGGAGGGACACAATAGCGGGGAAGCGGTTGAATTACACCTGGGAAAATGCCTTCTTGCTCATCTTTTTCTCCTCTATCTCCTTGAAGCCTGTTTTTTACCTGCTGACCCCAGTCGTTTCACATCATTGCAACAGCTTCTTAATTTAATGATAGAGTACTTCAGCCAGCAGTTCCTGCTCCCAGGGATTATTATTACAAGGAAATGACGATCGATTAAAAACTGTTGACAGCAGACACCCGAAGGAAGGTTGTTTCCATCACAGAAATCCTCTAGGGAAAACATGGGAACTTTATTTACCTCCTGGGAACCTGAATTATCTGTTGCACCTGGGAGGATGTAGGAAATAAGTAACTCTTCTAGTTTTGGGCCACTCTGCAGAATCTAATATTAAATTTACAGAGTATTGAAGATACAAACAACCTAGAGGTGAGTTAGTCCTGTGGGGGCTTTACTTCTTTGATTTTTTTCCCCCCTGCAGCGAGGCCTGGGTGGCTTTGTGGGGAAGGGGGTTTGTGTGTTTGCTCCTCTGGAATGCTGGTGCAGGAGGAGAGAGGCCTTTTGAGGAGGCTTGGTGTGGGGTGAGAACGCACTTTTATACTTCCTCACTTGTGCCTGGCTTGGGGGAGAGTATGAAGGCATTTTTCATTGCTTTCTGAAGCTGCTCTGCTAATGAGCAGGATTTGGCAGTGTCCTGTTGAGTCCCACAGGTGAAGCCCTTTGGATTGGTGTTGAATGTGTCACCTTATTGAAGTGGAGAGAAAGCAGCTGCAGCGGTTCAGAAGCACTGCAAGCCTTCCCAACGCACTGGTGGGATTTCCTAGCTCCAAGGAAAAAAGAAAGAATTTTATTAAAATTAATTAAAAAAAATAATAGCAGGATTCTACAATGCAGGCTGCACACAGGTTTAATTTGGCTTGAAGTACCCTGGCCTTTAGTACACTTACAGGAACAGATTTGCTCCACAATTCTGTTAAGGAAACATATCTATAAGATAATTACATGGCTGCAGAGCCCTCTGCCCCTCCAGCTCTGGGTGGGGACGCAGCCCAGTGACAGCAGCGAGGACATCACGCTGTTCCTTGCTCAAGCACCGTGTGGGTGTGAGCGTGTTTGTCGGTGTGTCAATGCAAACACACCTGCAGCACGCCCTGCTGCCTGGGCTTGTCCCCAAACCCTGTCCCCAGCCGTGGCATCTGGCAGGCAGAGGCTGTTTGGCAGAGCTGGGCTGCCCTTACTTGGTTTTACAATGTCCTACTTGGCAATGGCTGGGACGAGCTGGGGTGGTTGTTGTGCTGGGAGAGGGTTGGGAGGGGAAGGTTAGTAACTTATCCTCCGTGCCAGGTAAAGGGATGGGATCCTTATCTCTGGTGCATTGTCTTCAGCAAAAGGAGATCCCACCACCCCATGCAGGAGACCCTCCCATCAGCCAGCCCAGACTCCTTTGGTTTTCCAACCTTTTTCCAGCCCGAGGAAGTGGATTGTTGCTGATATTTATAGCAGGTGTAGCGGAGGCCACGATTCCAGCAGCTCAGCCTGGAGCAGGCAGCGGGCACAGAGCACAGCCCTGGCCCTGGGCAGCGCTCTGGCCAGGCTGGCAGTGCTTGTCCCTCTCCTCCACCTTGTGCAGAGAGCAGCAGCTCCCCGGGGCACTCAGGGCAGCAGGGGGAAGCTGAGATCACCTCAGCTCCTGGCCCAGCTGAGCACAGCAGGGATTTCAGCAAATTCACAGCTACCCAAAAACTCTGAGAAGCGTCTCCAGCGCCTGCTGGAGGTTCACGGTGGTGACCTCAGGGCCAGCCCCCAGTGCCTCCAGGAAAGATCTCTCGGCCGTCTGTGATGGCACCACCTCCTTCCTCACCCTCTCGCATCCTTGGCCTCACCCTCCCGCTGCCTCCTTGGTCCTGCGAGCTGCCCCCGAGCCCGGGGCTGTTCCAGGAGCCCGCAGCCAGGCGGTGGCAGGGGACAGCGGCTGCCACAGGAGGCCACGGGCAGCGGGGTGGCCCCGGGTGCCCAGCCCTGGCATCGGAGCCTTGGCTCGCCCACGGGCATCTGCTGCGGGTGAGCTCATTTCAGGCTTGGTTTGTAAGACAGCACGGCGGTGAAAAAGAAGAGCAGCTTTCGCTGTAAATAGTTCTTTTACACCTCTCAGTCACGGCCAAAGGCTTTATTTCGGAGGCGGGAGAGCTGCCCTGGCTCCGGGCAAGGCTGACATCTGTGCCGGGGATTGTAGGGACCCAAGAGCCCCATGCAAATGAGCATTACAGGAGATTTCTGCGAATTCCCGCTCTCCTTTCGCCACTGCCAGGTTTCACTGAAAAGGGGATTCTCCTTTGTAAACAAAGCCTCCCTTTTTTCCTAGGCTTCCCCCCCCCCCAAAAAAAAAAAAAAAAAAAGAAAGAAAGAAAGAAAAGGAAAAGAGAGAGGCGTGAGCCCTACTTAGAGTTTTCTTTTTTTGCTATTTGTCTACATTTCACACCCCGGAGAAAGAAAACAACTTTTAACATCTGTTCCTGCGGTTTTTAAGAGGCGAGGACAGGCTGTTGAAAAGGGGGCGAGTGTGGCAGATGTTGGCAGGTTCCCCCCGGCGCAGATGTCTTGCTCGGAGGGAGCTCCGGGCTGGGCTGTGCCCGGGACACGCGAGCGCGGCCGGCCGGGGGACGTGGGAAAGCGCCGCCCGACAAAGGCGCTTATTCAAACAAACCTCAGAGCCGTGAACAATCGAATCACCAGCACAGAAATGGTCAGCGGCCCCCGGGCCCGCCAGGGAGGCCTTCGGGGCAGCCCGTGGCCACGGGACCGGGGTATGTGAGCGGGCTGCAAGCGGGAGCGTCCTTTCCTTGTCCCCTGCCTGCTCTCTCTGGGGCTGCATCCTCCATCCTTCATCCTCCATCCTCCATCCTCCATCCTTCATCCTCCATCCTCCATCCTTCATCTTCCATCCTCCATCCTCCATCCTCCATCCTCCATCCTCCATCCTTCATCCTCCATCCTTCATCCTCCATCCTTCATCCTCCATCCTCCATCCTTCATCCTCCATCCTTCATCCTCCATCCTCCATCCTCCATCCTCCATCCTTCATCCTTCAGCCTTCATCCTCCATCCTTCATCCTTCATCCTTCATCCTTCATCCTTCAGCCTTCATCCTCCATCCTCCATCCTTCATCCTCCATCCTTCAGCCTTCATCCTCCATCCTTCATCCTTCATCCTCCATCCTTCATCCTCCATCTTCCATCCTTCATCCTCCATCCTTCAGCCTCCATCTTCCATCCTTCATCCTCTCTCCTCCATCCTCCATCCTCCATCCTTCATCCTTCATCCTCCATCCTCCATCCTCCATCCTCCATCCTCCATCCTCCATCCTCCATCCTCCATCCTCCATCCTTCATCCTCCATCCTTCATCCTCCATCCTCCATCCTTCATCCTTCATCCTCCAGCCTCCATCCTCCATCCTTCATCCTTCATCCTCCAGCCTCCATCCTCCATCCTTCAAGCCTCCATCCTCCATCCTTCATCCTCCATCCTCCATCCTCCATCCTTCAGCCTCCATCCTCCATCCTCCATCCTTCATCCTCCATCCTCCATCCTTCATCCTCCATCCTCCATCCTCCATCCTTCAGCCTCCATCCTCCATCCTCCATCCTCCATCCTCCATCCTCCATCCTCCATCCTGTATCCTTCAAGCCTCCATCCTCCATCCTCCATCCTCCCCGAGGGGCTGGGTGCTCTGCGTGTGCCAGGCAGCAGCACAGGGCATAGAGGGCACGGACCCGCCGGGCACCCTGAGCAAGGGACAGCAGGGGTGTCTTTGATTTGGCTTTTAAAAAAGAGCTTCTGCCAAGAGAATAAATAAATAAATAAATAAACAATCAAACAAACAAAAAAATAATTAAAAAATTATCATTTTATATATTTATAACATTTATAAATAATTAAATAATAATATATAAATAATATAATAATTACTATTTTATATAGTTATTATACTTATTATATTCATATATTTATATAGAAATAAAAATATAAATTATATAAATAATTATCATTTTATATAGTTATTATATTTATATATAAATAAAAATTATAAATAATATTAATAACTATTATTTTTATTATACTTATATTAATATATTTATATATAAATAAATAAGTATAAACATATAAATTAGTATTTTATATATTTTTGTCTTTATAATATTTATATATTTATAAATATAATAATTTATAAATATATTTATATATTTATAATATCTATTACTATAATTATTATATTAAATAATGAAATGATAATAAATTTTGATAATAAATTGCAATATAAATTATAATATAAGTTATAATATAAATAATAACATAAATAATAATATAAATTATATAATAATATAATATATACTTATATATAAAATATAAATAATGAATAATAACATAAATAATAATATAAATTATATAATAATATAATATATACTTATATATAAAATATAAATAATGTGAAATATAATATAAAA